TCAACCGATGTCAATTGCAGATCTGCTGCGCGTCTGGTCGCATTGCAACCCCTCTGTGGGAGAAATTCACTGTTGTGAACAAGAAGCTGGTAGAATACCAGGGGCAAGAGCCCACAATTTCCTGCTTATCCATCAACTACCTAGGGGAGGGATGAAAAACGAGAGATTAAAGAATAGAGAGAAGTGCGCTGAGAGAAAAAGCGAGAAAAGGGTTTTGGCACCGAGTCAGGGTTTCCTAAATTTCCCCATTAAAAAATATTTAGGTGGTGACTCTGTATCTGGCAAAGCAGTCCATGTTTGGCACTACTTTTTCAAAAATCTGTTTCTCAAAACGATTTGCCAGATTTGGACTCTTTGGTTCAGATTAAGAACCGCGACAACAAAATCGCGAGTCCGAACTGTAGTAGCGAGGGCCCCCTCCGCGGGCGCGTCTACAGTGAGTTTCTGAAGATTCACTTACATTGTTTCCCCTTGCATTCTCTATGTTGCTATAGGGAAACAGAAGGGCAATAAACATAGGCAAATAGTCCTTACCATAATGTTCAAACATTCATTTTAATGTCATGTGTGCATGATCAATTCCAGTTTTTATTCAATTTTTTTTTGAACCCACTCACATACATGTTGATGAGATGCCCCTATTTCTTACTAGAACACCTTATAGCTCATATGGACTCGTGTGTGCAGTGTAACTCGTGCTCTGGTACCACTCTGTCATGACCCGAACCCGCCCCTATGGGTTTAGCATCGTAACTGGCCAGTAATCCTTGGATTACCAAAGGCCTCTTGACATAATAACATAGAGTAGAGGTTGCTGTAGACCCAACTTTCTTCGCGCACCCCCCTTTCTGAGAGGGCGTGAATTTGGTCTTACTACAGTTCGGACTTCTGTCACGGTTCTGAATCTAATCCCACAAAGTGCAATGTGAGACTGATAAACACCAAAGAGTCCAATCCGGCAAATCATTTTGGAAAATCAGATTTTGAATCAAATAATGCTAAAACAGGACTGCTTTGCCAGATTACAGAGTCGCCACCTAAGTATTTTATTTTTGGGAAATTTAGGAAACCCTGACTCGTGCCAAAGGTCACGTGTCCGTCATCACCAAAGTTGCCTCGGCTCGGGAACTTGGGTACGAGAGGGGAAGGTTCTGAAATGAGCACCCCCGCTCACTCGATCAAAGGATTGGCCTCTACTAACATGATGTGTTGTTTTATAAACCTCATGTGTTCTTATTCTGATTATTAATCTAACTTACTATGTGATGCGCGCAACATACAAGTATAGACTAAAATCGCGAGAATTGGAACAAAACAATTCATGTTTGTTTTCGAAAATGGTTTGAAAATGCTACTCGCAAGTAGGCTAAAGCGCAAATTTGCCACCCTCAAGTGGGCTTAAAACATAATGATTTGCCATTTTGCAAAGTGGGCTTAAAAACTCACAATCATCGAGTTATTCCAATTCAGGCAATAAAGCCTTCACCCATAGACATTCATGCAGTTAAGCAATTAAGCAAATAGCCTCATGGCAAGCATGCTAAACACTTACACATAGGCAAGTATGCTAAAGCTTAAACACTTACAGTGTACTCCAAGCCAAAACAAAAGCTATTTAGAAATATGCATGATCCTAACTATGCTAAGATGCCTAATGCAACACATGCAATAATGCAATTAAATAGGCTCGGCTATCTAAGATGGCATATGAAGCAATTTGATACACGTATTCAAATAAGTATTG